TGCCTTAATGACCAGCTGGGTAGGCATGGCTTTGTGGTCATGTGGCCCTTTGGGCATGGCCAACTCAACGTCACTCAGATCGATGGGCGCTTCGCCTTAGCAGTTTCTGTAAGCAGGGCAATAAAGATTAGGCTAGAAACAACACCAGAGTGTTTCCTTCCTTCCTGCCTTCCTTACAGGATTAACCCTGTAAAGTGGGAAAAAAACAAAAGGAGATTTCTTCCAACAACTGGTTCTCCAAACTGCTTAGAAAGTTAACAACCAGTTCTCCTGAATAGCTGCAAACTGGCTGAATCCCACCACTGAGTGATTGGGGTGCGCCGAAGGTGCAGTAATTCTTGGAGCCATCTGGGTCTCCAAAAGCAAGTGAGCCGAGGAAAGACTGCAGCTCAATGGAAGAAGATCTGCTTTGCATGGAGAAGACCTCCAACATCAGGGGGAAAAATGTGTTTTGAAATGACACATTCTAGCCAATGGCTAGCATGGTTGTTTATTTCCTAAATAAAATATTTCCCAGATAAACCACAATTTAACCAAGTCCAGGCTACATTACAACCATGATTCACAAATTGCATTGACTATGTTTACACAATGCACTAGCGAATCATAACTTCCATGTTACAATGTTGGTGCTATATCAATCCAACTAATGTGGCTTGTTTGGATTGGCCCAACAAGTTGGGAAAATCGGGCCATTTATGGCCTCTAAACCATAGTTTATAGCTTAGTGCAGGGGTCGGCAACCTTAAATACTAAAAGGACCACAAAGGTCCTACTCGGAAGCTCCCTGTTCAATTCTGGAGCCGACCAGAAGTCCGGTTCCCCCACCATAGAGTCTCCTCCTAGCGTGGCGTCCTTTTTCCTCTACCTGTCCTAACCGAAAGCCCTATCAATTGTGGAGCTGACCGGAAAACCCTTCCCTTCCATGGAGACTCCTCCTGGCATGCCCTGCTTCCCCGCCCTAACCAGAAGCTCCTCTCAAAATTGTGGTGCCAACTGGCGACAGGGAGCCGCAGCAGAAGGATGAAAGAGCCACATGCAGCTCCAGAGCATTGGATTGCCGACCCCTGCCTTAGTGAAATATACCAGTAAGTAATATCTTATTCAACCAGCCATGCTTACCACCACTGGTTTGCATGATGGATGAATCTAGCACTTGGTTGGGTGCTGCCAATATTTGCCAAATCAGATGCAGAAAGCTATAATTTAAATATCTCACTGTCCACCCAATATGCCACTGCAAAACTATATTTTCCCCAAGTTTAGCCTTGGGCAGAGGAACGGAGAAATTATTCATATTTGTTTTTTTTTTTAAATAATGCAAGTAGAAATATATATTTTTAGAAGGATGAGTTATCTTACACGTAAGAAAAAAATAGAGATATAGGATGCTTGATTCACTGTGGACACCACAAACTGACAAATTCCCCACAAATTGTGGAATAGGACAAATGTATAAGGTTTAAGATGTTGGATATCCATTTGTCTGAAGTGGTGTAGGGTTTCCTGCCTAACCAGGGGGGTAGACTAGAAGACCTCCAAGGTCCCCTTCCAACTCTGTTATTCTATTCTATTCTTTCCAAAGATCAACCAGGCAACTTTCCAGCTACAAATCCAGCTTGATGTCTTGGACTCCCTTTTCTTTTCCAATTGCTGAACATCGTTGACTCACCTTGAAATCTTTCATGTCGGGAAAGACCCCTTGTGGCTTCACTTTGCTTTCTTTGGTGCCATTTAACAGGAAGCACTTTTGCATGTTGACCACATTTTCCGTGGTGGCTGGTGTAATCTTGAACAAAGCACCATAGGGCTCTAAACAGCCAAGCTGCAACGTCACTACCTGGCCTGCAAAAAAGGACAATGTGAGCAACAGTAAACAAAAATGAAATTAAAGGTAAACAAAAACGAATATAGTTCGTCTGCCTGGAATCCGCACTGCATATCGGACATTAAGGCCATTGAGTGAGTCCAGAAGTATTTCACGAGAAGAGTACTCCACTCCTCTGCTCACAATAGAATCCCTTATGCCACCAGGCTCAATATTTTGAGCCTGGACAATTTGGAATTATGCCGCCTATGGTGTGACCTAAGCACAGTACACAAAATTGTCTGTTACCTGTAAATGACCACCTGTAAATGACTACCTGTAAATGACTACCTCAGCTTCAACCCCAATAATACACAGGCAAACAATTGATAAAAACTCAAGGCAAATTGCTCCAAACCTGATTGCAGGAAATACAACTTCAGCAACTGGAAGTTTTGTAAGAAGAGATTGGATAACCATTTGTCTGTAGTGGTGTAGGGTTTCCTGCCTAAGCAGGGGTTGGGGGTCTCCAACCTTGGCAACTTTAAGACTTGTGGACTTCAACTCCCAGAATTCCTCACCAAAGCTGAGCATGCATGGTTGACTGGGGAATTCTGGGAGTTGAAGTCCACAAGTCTTAAAGTTGCCAAGGTTGGAGACCCCCTGGACTAGAAGACCTCCAAGGACCCTTCCAACTATTCTGTTTTGTTAAATTGTGTCAAAGGAGAAGGCCACTTTGGAAAAGTTTTCCCAGGTGGAATGTGGTTTTAAAGTACTTTTACCATATTAAAAAAACTAAAAAATATATGTTAAAGCAGGCCTCCCTGTTTCCTTTGATCTTCTTTCTCACCAGGCCCTTGCTTTAATGGAGATCATGCTAATCATTTACATGATATCACAGAAATTATTATTTGCTCTTGTTCTGGAATATTTGGGAAATCACCATTTTGATATCCAGGAACAGAGAATTCCATCACATTTAGTCTTTTCCATTTGTTGCGTCCCATTGCTCATCTAGCTGGTAGCATTTAGTCAGCCTTAGCTGATCAGAGAAAATTAGGCTGGAAGGCAAGCCACCAGGAAGTCCCAAAGCTTTTGGCTGGAGTGGAAAGTTAAAAAAAAAAAAAAACCTCAAAAGAACCTAATGGCAAGCCTGCAAGTTGTTAGTAAAACTACATGGATGGGTCCATGAAGTCATCAGGGTCAAACATGATCCAAAGAGACTTCCTGTTCCATAACAAATTAGAGGATTATGCCTAAATCTCTTTCTTCCATACAAAGACATTCGTTAGATCTTCAGTTGCTTAACTAGGAGTGCAGAGATGAAATAGTAGCTCATTAGAGAGACGCCTATATCTGAAACATCTTCTCCAGATGAGTCTCCTGGCAGACTTAATGAGTTGGGGAATTCCCTTTATGGTCACCTAGCTGTAGGAGAAGAGTGGGCAGAGCTGAGGGTGGAGATAAGTGTGTCATCAACTTAGAATTGTTACATTCCCACAAGTGGTTCAAGTCCAACCTCTCCTGAATTCTGTTGATCCTTATCTGGCGCCAATTTAGGGTTGAATTTTAGTTGACTAGATAGCCGTGTATAGGTTTGAATAAATCTTCTATGCTGCAATCTAATGGATAGTCCTGATTTTTTTGCACCTGACATTAGCTTAGCTGCTTCCATGTGCTCTGTTGTCTCCCTAGGCTGACCAGGCTCCACTTCTGAACCTTGGTGGAGGGAGAACATCTCAAACGTTTAGCAGTGAATTCAGCTCACAGATACATATGTAGAAAGGGAAATGTTTTGCCACCATAGTTGGGAGAAAACATCACATGTGACTAGCTTCACATAACATAAAAAGCCATAAACAAGTTTAGAGAGCTGCAGTGGTGCAGTGGTTAAAGTGCAGTACTGGAGGCTACTTCTGCTGACTGCAATTTAGCAGTTCAAATCCCACCAGGCTCAAGATTGACTCCTATCCTTCCAAGGTGGGTAAAATGAGGAACCAGATTGTTGGGGTCAATAGGCTGACTCTGTAAACCACTTAGAGAGGGCTGTAAAAGCACCGTGAAGCGGTATATAAGTCTAATTGCTATTGCTATTTACACTCCAAAGGCAAGGCCGAAGCCCAAACAACATACACTTTAACGTGATTTGTGACCCAGATCTTGTCAGTGGCACCCCATCAATTTAAATTGGAGCCCTTTACAGTGGCATGATCAAGGATTGAACTTTAGACTTGCAGTGATCAAAACACACGTGGTCTTTTCACTAAGCTACAATGGCTCAGATTCGTTCCATCAGGCCCTCACTGGGGATGGAGTTGTCCTGCTAATTCAATGATAATCACAGAACAGTGGAGTTGGAACCAACTGTGGGGAAGATTCTTTGGATAATCCAAAGCCAAGGACGAGCTGAACCAGGAAGAATTTGTTTGAACAGACTGTACCCAGCAAACAAACATTTCTAACAATCATGACGAATTCTTGCTTGATGAATTACATGTCTATACGAACACACAAGGGCATGGAAATGCTAGAGTGGATGGCAACAATAATCTACCAAAGATCAGGAGAAGGTCAAGGTACATCGGAGGGATAAAAGTACTCTGCCATGAATCACGATGCCTGTGATCAAAATCCGTCTGAAGCCAACTCAACCACTCCTTTAACTGTCTTCTAAATTGTTGCAATATTTCATGACAAGATTGATGAACATTGGCTAGCCGGAGTCCGACACTTTCAGGTTACAAATTAGGAGAGAGAAAAGAGATGCTCTGGGGTATACGTATGTGTGTGTGAAGCGTGTAAAGGTGTGCACGCAGTGTGTAAGAACTCCTCTAATCAATAGCTGTTTTCCTTGCTGCTTTTTGCCTGCTGCTTCGCTCACTGTTTTCTTCACCCCGAGAAATATTTTTGGAAGCAAGAAGCTACAAGACAACTTTGCTAACTATGTGATTAATAATTCAGATAACCGCTCTGCTTACATTAGCTGGGAAAATCATGTTGATCAGCAAAGTGTACCTCTAATTAGCTGTGCTAAGATTGAGAAACCTAAAGGGAGCATTGTATTCAAGGCCTGATCCAGTAAAGTTAGTAAACCAATGAAATTGGTTGTCCCCTGCGGACAAAGATGTTAAGAGGGAACGATGCTCCCCCCCCCCCCACATGCCCCTCTTCCCAAGAAGGACTAGCCCAATCCTCTGCCATGTGCAAGAAAACCAGTGTTATTCCATATATTGCAATTGTTTGTGTTTCACCCCTATTCTCTTTTTAAAGTTCCTTTTACTTTTTAAGAAATACTGTATATCAAATCAATGCGTGAACAATGTGGCAGCTGGGTGTCATACATTCCAATGCAAATAAAACTAATGAAATTAATCATAATTATTACATTCGATCAACTCGTGAACATCTAGCAATAATACCTGTTTCTATTAGATTATAATCTGTCATCATTCAATTATTCCATGTTTGTAGAAAATTATTTCTGTCTATCCTAACTTCTAATCCTGTCGCCCACCTAAAAGCAAAAAAAAAAAAAAAAAAGGAAGAAAAGAAAAGAAAAAAGAAAAAGGAAAGAGAGTGAGAGGAGAGGAAAAGCAAATCAGAATAACAACAACTAGAAAGGTCATTCATCCTTTATCTGTAGCCCGCTTCAATATTTTAATTCCTACGCTTTAAAGGAAAGAGAGAAAGACAGAAAAGCAAATCAGAACAATAAAAAAAAAGAAAAATCATCTAATCATGATCCCCTGCCCACTTTAATACTTTAATTGCTATGTTTCATCCCCTATTCTTGAGACAAAGAGACAATTCTAACTTTGGGGACGGTGCTATCTGAGCTTGGCTGTTTTCTTGCAGGCGTCTCATTACCCAACTAGGTTACATCATCAGTGCTACATGGAAGTGGGGTTTGCTCTCTATTTTGTTTTGTACTTTTGGCAGAGCCCAGGGAAACAGAGACAGGTGGACATTTTTTTCTAACTTTGTCCAGCATTTGTATATTCCTTTTCTAATATTTTTTCAATCATATTTTATATCTCTCGCTTTGATGTTAGTTGTTTTATTCCATCCAGAGTTCCTTTTGGGAAGACATGCAGCTATACCAGTTTAATCAATGAATTGTAAATCTTCAGAGTTGGATCAGAACAGAATAGAATAGAACAGCAATGGCGAACCTTTTTTGGCTCGAGTGCCATATGCAGGGGGAGCGCAAGGGGGTCGTACGTGGGTGTGCTGCAACTATAATGCAATGCGCAACCCCCAGTGCGCATGCACACATGCGCACATGACAGGCACGACCCCCCATTTTTTTGCATGCTTTTTTCGCCCTCCCCAGGCTCCAGAGGCTTTATAGGAGCCCAGGGAGGGCGAAAACAGCCTCCCCTGCCCACCTGGAGGCCCTCCGGAAGCTTCAGGAGCTTTCCTGAAGCCTCCGGAGCACAAAAAACCTGGCCCTACGGGCAAACCGGAGATTCAGGAATGGATTTCCGGTTTGCTCGTAGGGCTGGTTTAAGCCCTCCGGAGCCTTCAGGGGCCTTCAGAAGGCTTCCCTGAAGGCTCCAGAGGGCTAAAAACAGCCCTACGAGCAAACTGGAAGTGACTTCTGGTTTGTCTGTTGGGTCATTTTTTGTTCCGGAACTTCCGGTTTGCACATAGGGCTCCGGAGGCTTCAGGAAAGCTCCTGAAGCCTCCGGAGGGCCCCCTGGGGGGGGGAGGCTGTTTTCACCCTCCCCAGGCTCCTATAAAGCCTCTGGAGCCTAGGGAGGGTAAAAATGGCTTTAAAAAGGCTGAACTCAGCTGGCCAGTGCATACATGCGCGCTGGCCAGCTGTCAGGGCAATGCCTCGCGTGCCCTGACAAATGGCTCTGCTTGCCACTTCTTGCACGTGTGACATATGTTCGCCATCCCAGGAATAGAATAACAGTGTTGGAAGGGACCTTGGAGGTCTTCTAGCCCAACCCCCTGCTTAGGCAGGAAACCCTACACCACTTCAGACAAATGGTTATCCAATCTCTTTTTAAAAACATCCAATGATTAATTGTTCGAATTGTCAGGAATTTTCTCCTTAGTTCTAAGTTGCATCTCTCCTTGATTAGTTTCTACCCATTGCTGGTTCTTCTACCCTCAGGGCCTTTGGAGAATAGCTTGACTCCCTCTTCTTTGTGGCAACCGCTGAGATATCGGAACACTGCTATCACGTCTCCCTAGTCAACATATCCTGGTTTGCCTTTGACCTGTTTGACCCCTTTTGGAGATTTTCTCTCCCCAAAACTAAAACTGCAGATTCTCCTCTTTCCATTTAGTGAAGGCATCAGTTTTTTTACCATGATAATATTCAATGCGACTCTTGTTCCCCGTCAGGTTGTACCAGGCTTCAAACGGCTCTTCGATTTCAGCGTAAGGGAGACTGATGACTCCTGCAGGACACAAGGAATAACTCTGATCAATCAAACATTTGCTATAGAAAAGTCTAGGCAGAAACACCACCAAATTTAGGGTTATTGATTGTAGGAGATGACCAGGCTGAGCTCGAGGGTGGGGTCAAATACACCATTAGTTTAGAGTCTCTACGCCCACGTCACTTAACAACTCTAAAGATTTGTTTAACCACCATGGCAAAAAGGTCATATCAGTGGGTGTGACTCACTTAACAACCACCTTGCTTAGCAACAGAAATTCTGGACCCAACTGTGGTCATGAATTGATGATACCTGGATAGATAGATAATAGATAATTATCTATTATAATAGATAGATAGATAGATAGATAGATAGATAGATAGATAGATAGATAGATAGATAGATAGAT